AGCACTTTAATTTGAATCAAAAATCTTAAAATTGTTGAAAAAGTGTCAAAGGCGGGTTTTCCTAGTCCACAACCCATTTAGATTAATAAAATATACCGACGTGTCTTGTATAATTTCCAATCAAAATCATCGGATTTTGGACGTCCAATGTCCAATCGACACCATTGGATCATTGGACATGACAACACTGCTCTAACGCAAATTAATCTTGCACTAACGTTAATCCTCCTCGGCAATCAGCTTTTCCTAATTTATTAAAATAAATAAGTTCGATTTTAAGCAACTGACGCAATGAATATCCTCGATGATCCGTTTTTCTCCGGACAACTAGTCAATAACGCTCATGTATATGTACACATGGACATATATAGATTCCTCCTTAATACTTGATTCCATTAAAAATGCAAAAGTATGTGTATGCATTCAAATAACTTTATCGTTATTAAAGACTAAAATGGTGAAATGTAACGGTCTCGACTCTTGAATACGATCATTTACGTAATAATGTGATTTTTATCAATACTAGATATTAGATCATAGTGATAAACAGTGAATTGGCAAATTTTAACCCAAAAAAAAAACTGCCAACCCTTCCAGCCAAAATGTTAAAAGAAACCGTTGATAGTCGTAAGGAGGATTTAGAAGAACAAAATATCGGTTCTTTTAACCGGAATCAACATAAAATAAATCGTAAATTAAGTTTAAATAAGTTAGACTCTCCGTACTATTCCTATTATGTTGATAAAACCATTCTAAACGTAGGCACTAGTTTACACCTAAATATTTATCATATAGCGTGGGCTAAAAGACCCCTATTGTTATTGTATTACCTTTCATGATCTTTGGAGACCTTGGAATGCATTGTACTTGGGGGATATATCCTATAAAAAAAATCAGTCCACACTATATGGTGCTATTATTTTATCCAAATGAAATGCATTAAGATTAATAAAAATTATAAATTATTCATATAATTCTGGAAAAGAACGATTCTAGATATTGGGCAAGACAATCTACGTTACCTCAACCTTCGACACCTTCAGAAAACATGCCATCCGATATCGGAAGCATAAAAGAATTTGATGGCGGAAAGGCGGACGCTGAAGAATTTATAGGTTGGTTATTGTTTTAATGTTGATTTATTTAATTAAATTTAATTTAATTTAAATATCCAACACAGATGAGAATGTTCAGGTTGAATTGGAAGCCATCTATACCGATTTTCAAAAATGTCTTGAATTACGTGATAAGTACATGAAACTTTCTCTACAAAGGTTGGGTGATAATCCGAAGGATAAAGAAAGCTGGGTAATCTATCCTCAACCGCCAAAACCAACTTGGGAAAAACCTCAATCGCAATATGAATCACATAAACAGTATAAAGAAAAAAAAGCCGTTGGTGAAGATTTCAAATTTGATGAATGTAATATACCTGAAGAGCATGATGTAAGTTATAATTTTTTTCCGTGTTGATATTAATCTCATTATAATTAAAGTCCAAATTACCCTGCTTTTGGTTTAGTTTCTTTACGCACTTGACAAACATGGTGTTTATCAAGTTTACGAAACTCAAGAATGTAACTATATAAAGCATTAGTGTTAATTATTTATCTTTAAAATAATAATACTTACTTCTTATCCCTTTAGGCCTTGAGAAGGGAAAACCTGCTTATACCATTCCGCGGAGTAATGAATATTTTAAGGATCTTGATTATATTCTTAAAGTAATTTCAGAAGGTCCGGCAAAAAGTTATGCATACAGGCGTTTACGTTATCTTGAAGGAAAATGGAATATGTTTGTTCTACTAAAAGAATATCAGGAAGTGGTTGATTCAAAGGTATCAAAATTATTCAAAATTATATTATGATCCTAATCATTACATTTAAATACAAAAATATTAATACACTAAAATTTTTTTAGAAAGTTTCCCATCGCGATTTTTATAATGTCAGAAAAGTAGATACACATGTTCATCTATCTTCATGTATGAATTCCAAGCATCTACTAAGGTTTATAAAGTCCAAATTAAAGAGACATGCTAATGTGTGTAAATGTTTTTATTCATAAAAAAGTTAACCACTCTTCATACGTTATTAAATCAACATTATCGATCTGTTTTTTTTAAAAAAAAAAAAATACAGGACGAAGTAATTTACAGAGATAATCAAGTGCTTACACTTACCCAAGTATTTGAGAGTTTAAAATTGACCGCATATGATCTTAGTATCGACACTTTAGATATGCATGTAAGTTCCAGTGTTTTATAAACCAACCGATTTTATTCTATACATATATATATTTTATAGTTCAGAATTTAATTAGAACTATTTTTTGAAAATACAAAGGCTCATACTGATTCGTTCCATCGATTTGATAAATTCAATTTGAAATATAATCCTATTGGAGAATCCCGCTTGAGAGAAATATTTTTGAAAACAGATAATTATATCAAGGGAAGGTATTTCGCAGAGCTTACCAAAGGTAAATTAATCGATTATCGCATGTTCGCGCATGTTACAAATTATTTATTCTTTGCTCTTCATTTATTATAGAGGTAATTTCTGATTTGGAATCAAGCAAATATCAGATGGCAGAGTATCGGGTTTCGATATACGGACGGTAACATATGAATGAATGAATAAATATATTAATTAATGGTGTCTCCATAATAATATCTATGGTAATCTCTAAATCTAATTGCAATAATATTATGTAGTTCGAAATCTGAATGGGATAAATTAGCGCAATGGGTTATAAATCATAAAATAATTTCACCAAATGTTCGGTGGCTTATTCAAGTGCCAAGACTTTACAATATATACAGGGAGGCCAAAACTGTCGAAACTTTTGAAGATATAATCAAAAGTATTACACTTTTTCAATTGATCTTTATGGAATTTATTTTATTACCAAACATTTCACGAAAAAAGTGACTTATTCGCCAAAATGATAATTTTAGATTTATTTGAACCCTTGTTTGAGGTTACGAAAAATCCAAAAACTCACCCAGAGTTACACGTATTTCTCCAACGTGTAGTAGGTTTTGATAGTGTAGATGACGAATCTAAAGCCGAACGACGTATTCATAAGAAATATCCCCATCCAAAGGAATGGGATACAACCCTTAATCCACCCTATTCTTACTATTTATATTATATGTTTGCTAATGTGGCAAGTTTGAATCAGTGGAGAAAAGCTAGAGGATTTAGTATGTATTTATTATTATTATTATTATTTTGCGCAATAACATTAATTAATTATGCATTAATTCATTTAAGATACTTTTGTTCTTCGGCCACATGCTGGTGAGGCTGGAGACACAGACCATTTAACCTCAGCCTTTCTTACTTCTCAATCTATATCACATGGAATTTTGTTACGCAAAGTTCCTGCGTTACAGTACCTTTATTATATTAAACAAATTGGAATAGCGATGTCACCTTTATCTAATAATGCTTTATTCTTGAATTATGAAAGAAATCCCTTTTTAAGCTTTTTTCAGAAAGGGTTAAATATCAGTTTGAGCACAGATGACCCTCTCCAATTTCATTACACTAGAGAACCATTGATTGAAGAATATAGTGTTGCGGCTCAGGTGCACTTAATTTACATTTAGAAATCATATTTATTTATTGTTATTTTTTTATATTAATGTATATATTGGAATTTATTAGATT